GTTTTGATTCACGACGGCAGTTCGTCTTTGCGGAACCATTCTGATTTCATCGCTCCAAAGTGACCCGACCTCTACAGGACTCCGCGGCGACAGTTCGACTTCGGGGTGACCTCTGGCTTAAACGAGAGCCTCCCGTTTTGATCAGGAGACTCAACCCCCACGGCAAAAAATCCTCGGCCACGCCCCTCCTAGGACTCTGATCGGCGACCCCGTGCGGGAAGCCGTGAGGGGGCGTGAGGTTGGTATCAGAGCTGATTCGTTTCGGCTCCGAGGTTGTCCTGGGACGACTATCTTATTTTGAGATTCCTTTTTGATCTTTCTTTCCTTAAACTTTCTCTTATTTTGAGTAGGCTGGTTCCTCGTCGGCGTCGGCCCGCGAATACCAATCAGAACCGAGCGAGAGGCCGGGCTCGAGGTCCGCCTCCCACGATGGTGGAACCCGGAAACGGGGGAGGAAACGGTGGCGATAACCACGCGGTGATGGCCGATCATCCCCTGTATTTTGTGCCTCCTCGCTCCGAAGTTCCCATTTTCTCTGAGGATAAAACTGATCCTCGCACCTTGCTCGCCGCCCTGAGGGCTCAGGGCTGGTCGGACCAGCTGCTCCGGGAACGAATTCCCGGAAGGTTAGTCGGAACCGCTTTTGAGTGGTATGGACAGAACCCCTTCACTAACTGGCTAAACTTCCAGAGGAAATTTCTCGACCGTTTCGATCACATAGCACCGGGACAGTATCTTCGTTTGATAAAGGAATATACGCAGCAACCTTGGGAGACCCTAGCTAGATACGCGGAACGTTTTACCTACCTAGCCGACCGCTCCGGGTGGATGAGAAGATGGTACGGACTGACTTCATCAGAGGATTGTCAGACTCTCGCCTGCGGAAAAAGATCCAAAAAAAATGCAACCCTATAGAACATACCCTGACGGAGCTAATTAAGTACGCCATTAAGTACGGAAAAGAAAATTACGATGTGGGCCTGGACTCAGAATCCGACGAAGACGATCCTTCTAGTGTCCGATGCCATAGCTACTCTGCTATGGCACGGATGTTCGAGGATCGCTTCGGGTTAGGTCCAGCAAAAAAAGGCTCGGATTGGAAAGGCTCTTCCTCCGCTTCGACCTTACGTCGCGCTAATCAAGCTCAAGGAGGCCGGGACGAGGAAGAAATATCCATGAAAGAGGTCGCGGCCCAATTAGTTACGGTAGTGGCCCCGTTGACGGAGTTTGTTCAAGGATTGCAGCGACAACGCATAGCCGCCTCACAACGGCAACAAGCGGCTATGGCCGCCCGGTCCCCTATGATAAGACCGGCCATGGCCAGGGCTGCCTCGCCCCTACACTGTTATAACTGTAATCAGCCAGGCCACCTTGCGAAGGACTGTCCGAAGACCAGACCTGCGGCCGGACCTTCCCAAATCCCGTTAGCCGCTCCTGCTGCTGCAGGGCAAGGGAGGGTAGCCACGGTAATGGATACTGGAACGACGGAGATGGTGGCCCCTGCGGCCGCCGAGATAGGACCCGATGAATATATGGCAGCAGCGATGTTCGAACCCGGGACCATCGGGGTAATACGTCACGTCCAACGGATTACCGAGGAAAGCGACCTCGGGCCTTGGCGACCGGGGTTCGAAGATCTTACGGCGCCTGGCCCCGAGTATAAGGACGGCCATATCGATGTGTTGGACGCCTTGAAGGCTCTGGATCTACGGATCCCCGTCCCCATCCCCTATTTGCTAACCATTTCCGAAGCGGCTAACGAAAAATTGATAGAACGATGCCTCAAGAACCGGCGCCGGTTCGAGGAAAACCGAAAAGGCAAAAAGTCGACTATCCAGGACCCACCTGCGGCCGAAGAGGCGCAACCCTCGATTTTGAGGGTTCATGAAGTGAACCGGGTAGGGATGATCCAGACCGTAGATCCTGCCCCAGAGAAACCTGAGGTATTCCTTCGAGCTTACCCCATAAGCTGGAAAAACGTTGAGTGTGATTGCAAGGTAGGGGGAAGCCCCTCGGTCGCCATCCTCCACTCGGGATCGTCAGCTGTCGCTATCTCGTGGGGACTGACGAAACGGCTAGGAAGGGAAGGACAAATTCAGCCCCTCCATCCAAATGAACTGTATATATCTGCTACGGAAGAAAACATTCATTGTAAGGGGCGGATAACGAACGTACCTATAAGGGTGGGGCGGGTGCATTGTCTATGCGACGCAATAGTATTGGACGTGCAGGCGTATGATGTTCTGTTAGGCATTCCGTGGCAGGCGGCGGTTGGAGCGAGAATACACTTTGATAGTTGTAAGGTGGTGCTCACTTCGGCCCACCCCAAACCTCAAACGGTACCGATGAGACTGGCCGTACGTATGCGCACTCAGTCGGCGCCTCGAATCGCCACGAAGGTCCATCAGATTAACATGATCCGATGCATGTCACCAGGCGAAAACGACATCTCATCAGAAATCGATGGGACTGATGAACCCGACCGATATCCGATCCGAATTCAGGACCGGTGGCGCCACTCTTGGCGACGGGAGCCTATGAAAATTGTTCGGAGTGAGTCCAAATGGTCCCACGCATTCTCCTCCATCGTGCAAGGAGAGCTCCTGCTGATGGTGTCCCGAATAACTGACCTTTCGGAACCCCCTGCGTCCTTATACCTCCGAACGGACCCCCTACCCGAAAGATTCACAGAGCTCAGGGGGCTGTGCGACTTGTCTTTCCGACTGCCGCGACCCTACTTACGAATGCCAAGGCCGCCCTGCTCCTGAAGGAAGGGGTGTCGTTTCAACCCCGAACAAGGGAATATCGATGGGGACCGAGGGAACTGACGCAGGCCTTTTCAGTAGAACCTTCGGCCGAACCCGGACTTGAGAGTGACAGTGACATGGAAAGCGAGCCGATAAGCCCAGCGGACAGTCAACTCATCGCGACTGTCCTCTCGGCAAAAACTGACAACTCCTTATTTGGTGCCTCGCCCGACGCCAGCGCGGCGGTCCCCATGGTTATGACGACAGTCCCCCTTCTTGGGGGAACCGTAGAAGTTCAGCTACCAGCCCGTGTTCCTGACGAATACAAACGCCTTCTCCTGCCAGTTATACGGGCTTATCCTGAGGCCGTCAGTATTCAGGACCACGATATAGGGCTAACTCACTTGATCCAGCACGCGATTGATACCGGGGATCACGCCCCGATACATTGCCGACCGTACCGCTATTCCCTTAAAGAAAGACAGTTGGCGTTGGAGAGGGTACGGGAATTCGAGCGGTTGGGGTGGGTCGAACCATCACTGGGACCGTGGTCCTTTCCCGTGGTCCTCGTGCCAAAACGAAACGGTTCGATCCGGGTGTGTATCGACTACCGAAAGTTGAACGCTATCACTACCAAAGATGTTTATCCATTGTCGCGGATCGGCGATTTATTAGATGCCATCGGATCTGCTCGAGTCTTTTCGAAGTTCGATATCTGACAAGGTTTTCACCATGTCGCAGTCCGACCGGAGGACCGGCCCAAAACCGCCTTTGTCCTATTCGAGGGCACGTGGCAATGGGTCCGGTGTCCCATGGGAATTTGTAACGCCCCCGCAACGTTCCAGCGGGCCATGAATATGGCCTTCGCCGAATTCGTTAACAAAACCCGACTAACTCTGCCCCTGATCAATTTCTGCGTGATTGTGTATATGGATGATATTTTGGTCTTTTCGAAAACGTATGAGTACCACGTGGAGCACATTGAGTGGGTTTTGCACGCACTGAAAGATGCGGGGTTCAAAGTGGCTTTGGAGAAAAGCGCGTTCTTCCTGTCGGAGATCTCCTTCTTGGGATACATCGTCACGGTCGAGGGACTAAAGCCGGGTCCGAGGAAGGTGGCAGCAGTCCAAGAAGTCCCCGCTCCGGTTACGCTCACCCAGGTTCGAGCCTTTCTAGGGCTGGCTTCGTATTACCGACGCTTCATCAAAGGGTTCGCCGGTGTGGCGAAGCCCCTGACGAACCTGTTGAAGAAAGAGGAGCAGCTGATCTGGACGCCGGAATGCGAAGCGGCTTTTCAGGTGTTGAAGGAGACTCTGACATCTGCGCTTGTGTTGGCGCGTCCCGACCCGACAAGACCATTTGCACTTCACACCGATTGGCAGCCGCATGCAATATCGGTCGTGCTGACTCAGCACGGGGCGGACGGCAGGGAGCACGTCATCGAGTGTGCGTCAAAAACGTTGAGCTAGGCACAGTCTAATTACGAAGCGTGCAAAGGTGAATGCTTGGCGGTGGTGTGGGGGATTCAGCATTTCCGACCGTATCTTTACGGCCAGAAATTTGTGCTGGTAACGGATCATCAGCCGCTGCTGTCCCTACGCAACAACACGGATTACACGGGGATGCTGGGAAGGTGGGCGGTGCGCCGGCAGGACTATGACTTCGACATTCGCCATCGTGCCACGCGGCAGCATGGGAACGCCGATGGATTGACGCGCCTCTTGCCGCCCATCAAGTGTCCCGCCAACGAGCGACTCATTCCGTGGAAGCTGGAAGCCACTCCGACGGAACCGCGCTACGGGGAACTGCACGTGCTGCGCAAGGACGACGCCTGAGTCCAGAATGGAGGTCTCGCTGGAGGGGGCGGGTGCCATCTTTTTGCCCTCGTCCAGTTTTCTTGCTCCCTCGGCTAGTCCCAACTCCTCCTCTAAACCACATCTAAGTTCTTGTTTCTTCTGTACTTTGTCGATGGTCCCGAATCGAGAAGGGTCACATCCGGGAGGGCCCAGTTTCCTCCTGTGGGTGCAGTGTAGTCAGTGTCAAGCAGTCAAATCTCACGGACAATGCGTTAGATACCGAACTGAAAAGACATGGGTCTGTCCCAACTGTAGAACGGACCAGGTCCCTACCGAGAAGCGGTATCTAGACGCACGGATTGCCGACGGATTTGCGCCAACTGCCCGACGGGCAGAAGTCTGGACGGACCTCCTGTTACTGAGGAGACTGACAAGCGACTCGCTGACCGAGCTTACTAAAGCCGAACGGCGGCGAGTCACGGAGAGGTCGCAGGATTATCGCTGGCAGGGATCGACGTTTCAAAAACGAAAGGTCGATGAGGACGGAGGGTCTAGCTGGTTGACGGTTCCGCATCCTTTCGCTAGGTTCGATTGGACACGAGCAGCTCATGAAGAGGATGCGGTCCACTTCGCGGTCAAATACACGGAAAAAGCCATCGAAAAGAATGGATGGTACTGGTCGGGAATTCAGGAAGATGTGAAATAGGTCGTCCAGAATTGCCCGGCCTGCGCGGCAGACAAGGCGCCGGTACAGATGCCTCGGACGATGGTGCCTACGCGAGTAGAGCGCCCCTTTCAGCGGGTCACTATCGATACGACGGATATCAATGTTCCGAGAGGTCCCCTCGATCATGGAGAGCTTAATGTCCTTCTGGTAGCCGTCGATCATTTTTCCAAGTGGATCAAGGCCTACCCGATGACTAGCCGTAACTCGGTGGAGGTAGCCTGGTACATAAACCGATTTTTGTGCATGCACCTAGATGTAGAAGAGGTACACATGGACAACGGGTCGGAATTTCAAGGCGAAGTGGAACGTCACCTAGTAAGGGCTAACGTTAGAATTATCTACTCGCCGGGGCACTGGCCCCAAGCCAATGGCCTGGTAGAGAACGCCAATCGATTGATTAAGACCGCCCTTAGACGAAATATCACCGCAGGAGACACCCGGCCCTGGCCTGTCATTATCGACCACATTTTGGCCGTCTATCGGGCTACCCCACACGGTAGTACTGGGGTGTCCCCCTTCCAGCTGAGAACCAATAGTGTCCCTCGGGTGCAGTTGTCCCCCTTAGTAGGTCCGGAAGTTAGAGCAACACGGGCCCAGCACAGAGATAAGGCCCGCCACTACATGGACCTAATGGCTAGGACCTATCCCCCATTAGCCCGCCGACGACAGAGGGCCGTAGATCGGACACATCAACGGCAGATCCGTGATTACGAGAATCGGCATGCATCGGCGGGACCACTGCCTCGTTACAAAGTTGGGGACTTGGTACAGGTATGGAAATCCATGCGTTCCTCCAAGATCCACCCGTGCTATACAGGTGTTTACGAGGTAACGAAAGTTGGCGCACGAGCACGGCATTCCGTGAAGCTGGTCCCCCGGCATAGCACGCAGGCCAGGTCGCTTACGCGACACGTGGCGGCTCTTCGACCGTTTCAGCCATCTCTGGGCCGCGAATCGGCCCTTGCCCCGTCCGAGCCTCCGTCCTCTCTCTCCCCCTCTCCTTCTTCGTCTTCTTCCTCTTCCCGATCTGCCTCGTCCCTTGGTGTTGAGAATCTCAGGGAGCAGGATGAACCATCGCCAGTCGGAGCATGAGCCCCTCGAGCACTTCCAGACGCCGCTTGCCAATCGCTTGTTGCAGCACCAGTTCAATGAGGAAAGGCAGCTACGATACGACATTCAGCAGGTGAACGTGCCAGCGCCCAGGGCTGCTGATCTGGCGGCATGCTCGTTACTTTGTGATGGGCTGACGTATGCGGGGGTGTACGTGGATGCGACGCAATTGCCTGGGCGGGAGACGACTCGAGTGTTTATAGAATTCCGCGCACTCCAGGTGGCACCTAACTTCGTGCATAGCGTCGCCACCTTTATCGGAGACCTGACGATCCTGCCGCAGCCAAATCGGGAGCCGGCGTGAAGCTTTGTGCGAGAATACGCGGTGCAGGCAGCGAGATCAGTGGCCAGAGTGCAAGGACGGGGAGGACACCGATTCACAGCCCACGAAGCGCTGTTACGCAGGGCAGAGGACGAACCAATTGCGTTGGTGCCACAACTCCCCGCGCTTCTTCCTCCCGCCGCCCCTCTCAACATCCAAGCTATTCCCCCTGCCCCGTACTAAATGCCTCCCTTTTTCTCTTACACCACTCTCCCCTATCAACTCACGGAGGGCCCCTATCCTATGCGCGAGTTCTCGTAGTATTTAGTGGAGTTGACCGACGTGGAGTCGCTGCCCTTCGCAGACGAAGACGCGTGGGAGTTGCACCGTGCGCTATACAAGTCAGTGGCATTGGGGATGTTCCGAATCTTCGTGGATTACGAAGACCACTGCATCGGGGAGCACTTCCTCGTTTATTACATCATCACGCAGCCCAAGCCAGCGCAGAAGGAGGGGACGGTGGCGTTGTACCCCTTTGCCCAGTTCCAGACGACCGATCCGGGATTGTTGGAGCTCATACATCTTGAGCTCCTATCCATTGCGCAAGTGATCGCGAGCGAGGAAGAGGAGATCCAGCCACGATTGCGGACGGCGGCTGCCCCGCGGAGAACGTACAACGCGGTCATCAGATCTGCGCCGCCAAAGGCCCCCAAGAAGACGCCGAAGAGGAAGAGACGCCACCCATCGCCAGGAGCGGCGAGGAGCTGGTTTAGCCCGTGCACGCGCGGAATCCCAACCCTGTGCCTGAGAGTGCGGCGACGCTGGTTAAGGAGACTGTCGTGCCATCGTCGTCCCTCCCGCGCGTGCCCGATCTCAATCTTGATGGAGCCGGGCCATCAGCCGCAGCAGCCGGAGGAGGAAGCCGAATGGGATTACCGGATCCCGTACCCAGACCCCCCGTCCTCGCGGGACCCTTCGGCTTCCGCCAGCCACCCCGGAGTACCCCGATCATTGACATTAGCAGTTCCTCCGAGCCGGACAGTCCATCCGAGAGAGGTGGATTTCATGGTGGAGCCCACCACCATCAGGCTCGAGGCCATTGCGGGGTCGTCGCGCCCTGATCCGGCGTGGGAGCCATATCTGACACCCCCTTTTCAAGGGTGTATCGCGGCGCGGTTGGCGGGGACGCTCATCTACGAGACCGGGCAGCGTCCCAATGTGATGTATCACTTCCTTGTCTTCGCGGCGCAGAAGCGGGAGCGGCGGCCCTACACCGAGACTCATCTGGTGATGACGGGTCCCGGACCACGATTAGTGCGCAAACGGGTGGTGCAAGCGGTGGCGGATCTGGCGCCCCGTGTCCTGTCTCATGTACCGGGGGCCTACCTCTATCCCTCGTTCGTCCAGCACCACTTCCGTGAGGAGGACGCGCCGACGACTCCCGCGACAATGGCCGCCTTCCTTCCACCTATTCCGCCCCCTCTTAATCCCTACATTGATCACTTCCTTTGATCACCCTCGTCTACTTCTCCCTTCTTCTCTCCTTCTCTTTCTCTTCATCGTCTTCTTCTCCTATGCCCAAAGTTCGCACGTCGAGACGCTCTGTAAAAAAAAAAAAAAAAAAAAAAAAAAGTCAGTGGACTACTTACCGATCGGGCCAGCTGACGATGAAGGGGCCGTCCGATCGGATGTATAATGTGAGGGAGGAGACTGATGATGCGAAATGCATCGAAGTAGATTAGGAGATGATCGGGCCAGCTGACGATGAAGGGGCCGCCCGATCATCTAAGGCATGATGACATCAGCAGTCGGGAGACTGATCATTTTTTGGAACCCCCTGCGCATCACAGATGTGATAAGCTCAGATCCGTACTGTGCGGCTTTCCGTATCCTTGAGGACAAATCCCCCGAACGCCCCGTAGCACGGAAACGGCTTTTTCACCTTTTTGGCTAATAACTCCCGCACGGGTGAATAGCGGCCGCGGTATGAAAACCAAGAAACAGTTTCGGTTGGGACCTTTTTGAATTTTTGCGTGAGCGCGCCTAAGCTCCGACTTCTTCGCGCGCCTCGCACCCCCGTTTCTTGCTTTGCATCCCCGCGCCATCTTCCTTTCTTGCTGCGCGCTCCCTTCCATGCTGGACTCTTCGTCTCCCCGCACGCAAAGCTCGATCCTCACCCCGTCTTCCTCCACGAGTGATTGGCCGCGTAGTTGGGATGCTCGGATCAATGTGGAGAGCGGGAAAACGCGCACCACTAGAACGAACACCCCAATCACGTACGGCCATTTCGACTCTGCGAAGTCAAACCCTCTGACTCCCCACCTTTCTTTTGTCCTGCTCATCTGCACCCTGCGCTGCCCGCACCTCGCGATGACAACCCGCCGCCTCCCGTACTATAAATTTGCGGAACCCGCTTCTCTCTCTCTCTTTGATCTCGGTTGCAATGCTGCGTGAGTTATGCACGAAAGTCCACAGCGCCGAACAGGCTCGACGAGCCCAAGGACGGGCGGAGTGACGGCGTGAGGTGGGCCCGCGGTAGACTCGGGGCGAAGCAGTCGGAGGGACTGAGCAGTGGTGGAGATTGGACGCCGATCGCAGCAGGGCCTTGTGGCTATGGTGGTCGGTGATCTTGGGAAGTTTTGAAGGCTGCGCCTAGAGGCGGCAGTCAGTTGGGAATTTTTGTATGCAAGAAGGACTCGCTTTTATCTCCATTGCTGCTTTATTTATGCATGATGTGTGTGGAGGCCCCAAGTGATGGGAGCTTGTCGTGCACATGAGTGATGTCGAAAGTCTATGGATGGTGGGGTGTCCTGTCAATGGTTGCTGACTGCATGCATGTATGCGTGTACGTGCGTATCCGGGCGGGGACGGGGGAATTGAACTGGATGACCGTCTGCTTGAGGAGTAGGAGTGTGTTAATCCCGTTGTCCCCTCCCTTTCGTGGCCCTTTCCTGCTCGCATGCGCACTCTCGGTGTAAATTCTTTCTCTCTCTCTCTGCCCTTCTTTTGAATTGGTAGCCGTCGTTGTTGGAGCTTCTCGTCCCCGCACCAGTAACGTCAACCACCTGCGTCCGCGCGCGCGGTCGACGCCCCCGCAAGGGGAAAAGAACTTGGAATTCGCCATCATCACCTGGCGCACTAACCTTGAGAGAGAAGGGTTGCACCGAGTGTTGTATGGAGACGGTGTTGGTTCGGATGACCGGGAGCGCGGGGTCTGGCCCGTGTCTATCACTCACCTCCGATCGCCTCATCTCACTACCGGCCTTCCCCCTCGAAGATGACGACAGCGTCTACTGTGAGGCGGATGTACGGCGCGCTCTGAGACGAACGGAGCAAGTGTGTTGGCGAGACCCACCTCGGGCGTGTAATATAAGGGGAAACGGGTTTGTCCTGATTGATTGTTTTGATTCCCCGAC